ATGGGTTTGCCAGTAGTCTATATGGATTGTCTCAAACACCTGGTTCGCAGGGAATGCTCGTGCTAGACCCTGTAGGCGTTCCGTGCCGCCTCTCCTTCGTTGACACACCAGGCACGCGGCGATATACTCTCGTATGTCCTGTAATTGTCTCGGCCACCAGAACAGTTCCTGGCTCCTCCGGTACGTCCTCACCACGCCGGCGTGCGTGCCGACACCCTTGTCGTGGTAGTGCTGTACCACGCGGCGTGTCCACTGCGGTGGCACGTACGCCCGGCCTCTGCGTACCAACATCCCTTGCCAGTCCTGCAACTTCATCGCCCTTCGTTCGTCCTCTGTCACCCCTTTGTACGCTCGCCGCCACTCCGTCACTTGTGGGAGCCCTTCTTCCTCCGCTGCGGCCATTACCGCCATACAGGTCATCCGGTCTTCTACCGTGACAGCGTCCTTGGCCAACCGGCTGAGCGCATCCACGTGCGCTATCTGCGTTCCGCTCTTATGGACGATATCTAGGTCGTACTCCTGGAGTAACGTTGCCCATCGGGCTATCTTGCCTTTTTTGGCCTGGAACATCCATTCCAGGCTCTTGTGGTCTGTGTAGACCGTGATACGTCGCCCTCGCACACAGGCGTCGAACTTTTGTAGGGCCACCACGATGGCGTACGCCTCTTTCTCCCGCGTCGGCCATCGGACCTCTACCTCTGAGAGTGTCCGGGACATGCACTCCACCGGCGTCTCCATACCGTCTCTCTTGCATGACAGGATGCCTGCAACGGCGTAGTCGCTGGCATCCGTCTCGATTACTAGCTCCCCGCTGGCGTGGTCATTGCACAACGCCGCGTCCCTTAATCCTTCCTTCACTGCGTCGAATGCCTGCTGCTGCTCCTTTCCCCATGCGTAGGGCTCCGTTCTGCGCATGAGTTTCGTGAGCGGCTGCGTCACTTCGGCGTAGTTCGGGATGAAGTTCCTGTAGTACCCAGCCATCCCGAGGGCTTATCGTAGCCCTTTTACGTCCCGCGGTGGCTGCAGGGCGTCTATCGCTTCCACCTTCCTTGGCTGGGGGGCTATCCTGCCCTCGGTAATCGTATGCCCGAGGTACTCGACCTGTTCCGGTAGGAACGAACACTTGGACAACCGCAGCTTCAGACCACTTGCTCGGAGTCTCTTCAGCACCTCTTCCAGCTTCGCAAATACTTCCTCCAGGGTCGCTGCGTGGATTAGGATGTCGTCCAGGTATACGAGCACCCCGTTCCAGTAGAGGTCCCCGAAGAGGTTCTCCACCATCCTTTGGAACGTCGCTGGGGCATTCACTAGGCCAAACGGCATCACGACAAACTCGTATAGTCCTGAGGGCGTCTTAAATGCCGTCTTCGGAATGTCCTCTGCCCTCATGGCTACTTGCCAGTATTCTGCTCGCAGATTC